TAGATCCTTAATTCAAAAGTGGCTGTTTTTAAGCAGCTGAAATTTCAACCATGATCATGCTGTAGGAAGTTGCCTACAGAAGGAAACAATGATTTGCTAAACATGGGGAAGTTCCGATTGGGAAGACAGATTGTTTTTTCTTAAGGCCTTCTGAGAAACAACTAATTTCGTCCCCTCTACATGTTTTCCAATATATACATATTTTTTTAAAAACATTAAAGCTCATATTGAGTTATAGACATCCGACAGGTGTAGAAACCAACATGATAGTCATAATCGCAATCTGTTAAGATGTTATTGTACTGCATTCTTCAAAATACCACACGCCTCCAAAATATTACACTACTTTTTCAAGTGCTTATCACATTAAACCTTTACCTGTAACTCTGGAAGGGACAATAATTCTTCCCAAACTTGCTCTATGTTCTGCATATTCTCTGTATCAGCAAGTGGAATTAAAAGGGGTGATTCAGGTGGCTGAGTCTGATCAGAGGAAATGAAGACTGGGTTGCTATCAATCTGAGCTGGAACCAGTGACTGAAATGCAGCTGAAGAAGCCTGGAATGTTCAAAAAAACGTAAATTAAAAAAACAACCAACCAAAAACACACCCAAGAAAACAAATTTGAATTTTCCAGAGCAAAAAACTGGGTTTTGGTGTTCTACCATTTCTGTAGAACAAACAGGCAGGTATTTCTTTACAAAAGCATTTTTTGTAAATAATGGGATAATACAAAAATATTCCCACGAAAGAAGTTTTCATATTAAGGAAAGAAACAGGAATAAAAAACTAGAAACTGGCTGGTGAAGGGCTTATCTTTACACATCAAATAGCCTGGGTCAGCACATGGAAATAAAGGGGCTCAAACGCACTAACTCCAGAGAGCTGCACGAAGCAGCTCACTGTAACAAACACAGTGATCTGCAGCAACTGGAACGGCGGCCATCGGCTGGCGTTACACTCTGAATCCCGGCTGCAGGGGTCGGGAAGCAGAAGGAATACCGGAAGAGTACCACTCCACTCTCTCCAGATGCAGCCCTTGTTTAAGCCTTCCACACTGCTTTATTCCGGCTGGAGTCAGCTTGGGGACAAAACTCAATTCACACCACAAACTAAGATCACAGCAAAGACAAACTTTAGTAAGAGAAGACATGAGGCTGATCCCCTAGAAGGCCACCCGTGAAACTGCTGTATTTAGCACTTTTACCTCATTGTCGTCTATAAATGGGAACGCTTCTGCCAAGAGCTGCATGCAGTCATCAAAGGACAAGGCCTCTGCTTCTGGTTTTGAAGTCTGTGTGGTCTAAATAGGAAAGTTATGAAAAAAATGTCACTGCATCTTTGAATAACTGAAGAATCTTCCATTACAGCAACAAATGCAAATTCATTTCAGGTAACCGCTACCATTACATCTTCCTGTGAATGGAAACAGGTCCGAACACACTCACAGACACATGCTAGAATTTACCTGTGAAAAACCAATTGGTGGCTCAGTATTTTCTGACTGAATGTGCTGAGCTGGCTGAACTGGAACAAATTCACCTGTCTCTTCATCTAACTCCAGCTGAGCCAGCAAGGCCTTCTCCTGCTCTTTTTGGAGCTGCTCTTGTCTTTCCTTTTCAAGTTTCTTCTGTTTCTCGAGTTCATACTCCTTCTGTCGTTGATTAAAATCAAACACTTCACGCCTTGCCCCAAGGTCTATATCTTGCCTCCAAAGGATGTCAATCAAGTTCATGTCCTGTAATAGAAATGCTTTTTTAAAGCAAGTGTCCTCCGCAGTGAAACTAGTTTAGAACAATAACAAAGCTTTTAAATTCTATATCAAAAAGGCAGACTTATGTAACTGAGGCTTATTCTCTTAATGCTACAAAATTATCTAAATAAAATATGGGTCTATACAACTTTTCTGAAGCGTGTGCACTGATAGTTTTGTTGCTGTGGCTCACACACGGCTCATAGAAACTAAGGAATTTGCTCCAATTGGTAAAGTAATACATGAATTAGCCAGAGGATAAATATATTCTTCTCTCCTAAGTTAGCTCATAAACAACATGAAGCTATAGAATGAGTTGTGTCACACTAAGAAAGTCATTTTCAGGAGGAAAAAACCCCAGAAATTGAAAAGTTTGCCCAAGCAAGTTTTTTTTTCCGTATGATATTATAAACTGTAAAAGCTGACTAAAAACATGATGGGGGCTGTCTGAAGTAACTATAATAGCCATACTGCAAGATGTATTTAAAAATATTTATGTTCCATCCCGGTATTAGATATCACTCTTAAAGATCAGCACAAGAGAGTTTTAGAGTTGGAGGATAACCAGGTTTCAAAGTCACCAAGCAACGTAACATCACTGTAGCACTAAACATGAGTATTAAGGTTATTACTAAAAAACTGCAATTTAAAGTTTAGTCTAAATTGATGTTCTAAGTGCAGTTGGTTTCAAGCAGTTGTGTATAAACTAGAGGTCAACATGTGTCAAATACTGTTAATCAGTTGGCCTCTGGCTCATCACAGTCAGTCATTATTGGACAGCTAACAATGACCTACATTTCCTGGAAACTGGCTACCCCTTGCTCCTATAGTGTTTCAGAAGACGAATTAAACTCTGCTATTTCAGGAAAACCACCTAGTTAATATTATTTGATTTGGCTACAATTTATTTTAATTTATTATGTAAGGCGTTTTTTTGAGGGGGAAGGGAGTTGGTGGATTGCTTGGGTTTTTTACTGTCCAAATATTCAGTATTTTTAAGGGCTGAAGTTTGGACTATTTCCTTCTGTGAAGAAAATCTAACACTCAAAAATCATCAGTCTGGATGTTAGCCGATACAGAATTTTAATACTTAGTAGCCACATTTGTCAGATGGGTAAATGCCAGCAATTTCTAGCTGGTGCCTGGGAGTTTTGACTTTATGGCATGTTTCATTATTCTCAAAACTACCCTTCTGTGGCAGCACACAAAAATAGTGTTCAGTGTTGGGCATTTTCATCAGGCTACCACACTACAAGTAATACAGCAAACATTAGATTTCATTTAAACAAAACTTTCCTGATTCAGTTAGCAATTCTACACCCAAGATACATTTATTTTGCCACCATATCAAATTAAAACACTCCCTTATCTCTAAAGACTATTTTCAAATAGAAAAGCAAAGTAACCTGAATGCCAAATCACGGTGCCATTCAAAACAATCACAGCAAAAAGCGTTAGGGCAAGTCCACATCTGAACAAACCAATTCAGTTTTCTCACTTTGTTAAAAATTCCATACCCTTAGCATTCATATTTATACACGGCATGAACTACTTCTACCAGTCACTAAAAAAGGTTAAGTCTTCTCTAAAATTGGGCAGTCACACAAAATATCTGTGGGTAACACAATGCAGGCATTCCCAAACCTGAGGCGTATTTAACATACCTTGCTAGGAGAGACCAAACTCAGCTTTAATGGCCAGCAATGAAGAAGCCGAAATAATTACAGTGGCTGCCCAAGACAATGTTTGGTCTCTCCAAATTGGTAGGGTAAAATGAACTAATTAAGTTCTGCAGTAATTGGAGATATTGCAATATGGTATGGCTTCATTAAGGGCCAGTAGTTTACCAGCTGCTCAATGTCTCCTTCTGCAGCAGATTCAAAACTGTTTCCCAGTCTCAGAGCATTTGCAATATGTTCTGGATAAAACTGCAGGATCTGGATTTTAGGGCTCACTTCTGAATTTTTCATTTACAAGGCACCATTAAAAGTGTGACTCAAAAGATTTTTTTTGTGTCTGTATAATGCACAAAGCTGTGAATTAACAGAGCTGTTTTCCTCCACAAGTTGCAACGGACTACAGCACAAAAATAGCAGAACTAGTGCTCAGTTTCACTTTAAATCGTAAAAAACAAGTGATCAAAAAAAAAAAAGAAAAGAGGTACAGAAGGCATTACATGTTTTTCTTCAGAAAAACCACATTCCCTTAATGCAAGAACTTAAGGCACAGCTAATAAATCTTTCAGCCATACTACTGGCTGTATTTATCATCAAAATAAGTAGCTTTGGGTGCTGCCTCATTTGTGGGATGAGACCTCCAAAGACACCAGCTGCGGCTGTGCACCACCACCTCTGTGTGCATGTCCAGCAATCAATTCAGCACACAGGATTATTTTTTGAATGAATATGCTTGCATGGTTTTCAGGATCTTGGGCTGTTGTTTGAAAAATATGACATATTGATCGTGTCCTGTCACTGTTTTTCAAGGGAAAGGACCCAGTATCTGGTCCCTGGCAAAGGGCTGAGCGTTGCTGAACCCTGCATTGTGCTTCACCTTGGAAAGAGATGCTTGTCAGGAGCACCTTTTTAAATTTCATTTAGTTGTGTTTGTGGCACTGGGAAAAAGCCCCCCTCTTTTCAATTAGAAAAGTTGTATTGAAACATAGCAATATTAGCCATAATTAGAATAACAATTCAAGTAATTACTCTTCACATGAATGGGTTGCATGGAGGAAGAATACTTCTGTTTAATATGCTAATATGTAATATAACTCAACAGAGCACTGGTTTAATATTAACCTGTCATTTAACAATTATCTATAATTTCAGCCAATGTTTTTAGTAATACCGCCCTTTTAAAGAAAAAGAAAAATTCTGGGCATTAGTCCAAAGCCTCAGGTCAAAGTTAATGGAGTCAACATTGACCAGTGATTCACCAAGGAGTGAATCCCAACCCCCAGGAAGAGGTGATGGCAAAGAACAAGGGAAAAAAAAAAATTAAAAAATTGCAGACTAAAGCAAATATTTTACAATTTTGTTCCTTCAGCCTCCCCACAGTCTTCCCCTTTAAATTATTTCTCTCCCTTGTGGAACGCTGTCACACACATACACAGAGGTATCCACAGACACAGGCAGGCACTCGTGTTTCAGGTGTATCACTGAAGCATTTTTCCCCTTCCAGTGTGAAAGCATCACAGAAATAACTGCGTATTTGATGCCTGGAGTGTTTAACTAAAGCTATTCAAAGGCATTTTACTTCTTGACTGTGCAACAGGCAACAGATTTTTAGATGCCTCAACATGATGTGCTAGTCTCAAAGATTCATTTGGAGGGTCAAGCAAGCACAGACTGGCATCTGAAGCGGAGCACGTGCACCGAGAGTGCTGTGGGGGACCCCTCTGACCCCGGGCTCGTTACTGCCCTTTGGAGCCGCGCTAACCACTGCCCTTAATAGCAGCCGTATTTACTGGGAAGGCGCCAGCGCTCCCTCATGTGACAGAGTCCACAAGCGCCCGTTTGTTCTTTCCTCCCTTGTGCAATTTCTTGACTTGTATCAGAAGAAGCGATGGTTTTGGCAGAGCCAAGAGGCGGGGCAGGAAGGGCCAGGTCGCCCCTGCAAGAGGAAGGACCCGTGCCCAGGAGGGAGTGCAGCTGCGATGCTTCCCCCTCTCCAAGACCTCAGCTCTTCCCCACTCAACACCAACACCTATTTCGAGGAGAAATACATCAAGGTATTTGATGTGTGTACTACCATTGTCCAACATGTCTAACTGCTGGGAAAGTAATGTTTTTAATATTTTTCCCAAGCAGACAAACAGTGATTTGATTTTATTTAATATTTTCCTCACAATTTTGTAGACAGAGAAAGAACTCTCAACGCAGAAGGACACGCTTTGCTGTCCCACGATCCATGTAAGCAGGAGGTGCCTTGTACTCATGGTTTGATTTTATTTTTTTGTTGTTCACTCAGCGATTCGCTCTTCCAACCGCATCGATAGCTTAGTCTGGACATATAAAGGCACATTTAATAAGATAAACATAAATGTTAAACAATTCACATTAAGCCACCGTCTGGCCCCCAGTGGAAATTTTCATGTTCTAGATTTACATATCAGCATTTGCCATCTGGGCAGAGTCTGTTATACATTTTATGAGAAAATTTCTGACTACATTGTAAAGTTTGACAATTAACTCCTAAGCAATCACGTTTGCAGTAGGATAAAAACAGGCAAGAAACCCTATTTTAATGTTATTTTAATAAACTGAATTTTGTGCTTTAAACAAAATGCTAATCTTTCGTTTCATCCCTGTTTGGTTTATGTGACTGGTTTTGTTCAGAATATAAACCATTTCCAGGTAGCACTGGTAAAGAGGAAACATGCAGTGACCTAAGAGTAAGCAGAGAAACAATCTGAGAAAGCACTCTCAGACAGCACTTTCAACCTGTTATTAGCTATCCCCTTAATACAGAGCACATCTGTGGGTTTTACATATTTACTTCTTGAAGTCATGCCTTTTGCAACGTAAACTGGGATAGCATTAGTAGTACTTCACATCAGACAAGGATTTGTTTGTCTTTCCCATAATCCATTAGCACCTAACTCCAAGAAGAGAGAAGACTTCAGGTGCCAGCGTGAATAAATGAAAGAGCAACAGAATCAAGAGATACTGCATTCAGCTGGGGAGCTCAGACAGGAACCCTACAAGCAGCAGGAAAACACTCCCATAGCTTATTCACAGAAAGAGAACTTAAAGTATCCCCCAATTCCTATTTGCTTTCCAGAAAGTGAAAGAAATGAACAAAAGCATCTTAAATTTTTGGTGCATTCAAAAAAAAACAAGTAGGAAGTGAGGATCAAGGACCTGAGCTACTCCAAGGCAAGAATGAAAGGGAGGGGATCAAGTAATAAGAGAAGAAGCTGGAAGCAACTTACCACTTAAGAAAAGCACAGGCTATGGAAGCAACAGCTGAATGCCTTCCCCTCAGG